AAGGAGGAAGGAGGAAGGAGGAAGGAGGAAGGAGGAAGGAGGAAGGAGGAGCCAATGCAATTTAAAAAAAAAAAAAAAACAAAACCAAAACCCCCAGCATTTTATCCAGGAAACTGTGCGGCCAATGAAAAGGGGATGAAAAGAGTGGTGGCTGAAAAGGGGGTGAAAAGAGAAAAAGTCACTTTTTTTTTTTTTTTTTTTTTTACTCACGTAAGGGAGTCCGATGGCTCTGTTTCGCTCCACAACAGCCTTCACCTCCTCGAGGGACCCGTAATCGTAGCGGCTGAGGTGGAAGCCCAGACTCCAGTAGGAGGGCAGCACCGGCAGCCCCACCAGCTGGAAACCACAGCCAAAAAATATCATGAGTGTCCTCCGCCTCTTCTTTTTGGGTCCGATTCCCTAAATTCTCCGATTCTCTCTCAAATCAGCGATTCGACTCAAGCATGAGAAAGCGCGGTTCAAAAAGGAGAGGGGGGAAAAAAGGAGGGGAGAGGAGGGGGAAAAGGAAAGGGTTTTAATTTATATTTACAGATTTAAGTTACTAAAGAACTAAATTTAATGCTGGTTCCAAATTTACTTCTCCTTTCTTTGAGAAGTCATCGGAACACGGATTTGGCCCTCAAAAACACATATGGGAATTCGTTGCCGTAGAGACCCCCATACATAGAGGTGTAGATATCTGCTACCGTAAAAACACGCCACCGTAAAATCGTCACAGGTCGGGGGCAAAGCCTGAGTTACAAATTCGGATTAATAAAATAGCGAAGAGACACGGAAAGAGAAGGGGAGAAAAGAAAACTTCAAAACAACCCAAAACGTTGGCTGCATAATTTCTCAAGATAACCCACAGGACGATGGAGGTTGGAGATCTCCGAGATCACCCCGGGGTCAAAGCAGAACGAGCAAGAGCCGTTTGCCCGGGGATCTCCTCCGTCGTGCTGTGAAGGTCTCCAAGGTTGGAGGATCCATCACCTTTGGGTTGAGGTTCCTCAACGTACCTTCACGTACTCCTGCACCACTTGCTCGGGGGTGTCTCCCAAGAAGACGTAAAAATCGAGAATTCCACCGATCGTTCTGTACGTGACAGCCGGCGCCGGCTGCAGGGAGAACTCTGCCAGCAAAAGATGCCCCAAATCAATTTGGGATATTTAACCTAAATTGGGATATTTAAGCTAAATCTCAAATAACTGTGAGGCCGATGCGAAGCAATATAAACATTGTTTAGGAGAAAATATCACACAAAAATATTCAAGGAAACCCAAAACCGGTCCTAGAGCTCGCAACACAGGTGGAAAGTTTCCAGCTCTTTTTCTTTTCTCCCTAAAAATATCCATATTTACATTCCTTTACAGCCCAGAAAGAGAGATCCAACGGCACAACTTCTTCTCCGTAAATTTTCAATCTCAAGACACTTGAATATCTGTTAAACATCCAAATACCGACGCGCTTGCCTAAGGGAAATTAAGGATATATATTTAAAATCGCTGCTCAGTATAAATTTGGGCTCAGATTTTAAAAACTTGGGATGAAACATCCCGGAATGTAAACAAAAATGCGCAGGGGGTGTATGACACCGGTCTCGGAATACAACCTTAACGCTGCTTGTATGGCAAATAAGAGGAAATGCTTGAAAAAAATGGCCCAAGTCATACGTTTTAAGACAACTTTCTTCCAAAGTTTGACACGACTGTATTTTCCTTAAAAATCTACATCAGCTCAGCAGGATCCCAGTGTAATAGCTTGCAGATTATTGATTTATTTATATTTAATATATATT